TGTCTTTTAACAAAAAACTGAGGATTCCTCCTTTCACCACGTCGCCTTCTAACCCTTACACGACCATCGTGCATGCCTAAACAAAATCGAGACTCGTCACTAAAGACAATACTGTTCCATTCCTGATCCCAGAGTGACCGTTGTCTGCACCACTCAAGGCGATTACGTCGGTGTTCTCGAGTTAAAGGGAGGACCCAGTATGGCCGGTATGAAAACAAGCCAAAACTTCTCATTCGTCGGTAAACACTTCGCATGCCAATAGGTCTTCCGTGTTCTGCAAACTATTCATTTGCAATGGACCTGGTAGTGGAAAAACGGTCCCTTAAGGCCAATAATCTTAGGCGGCGATCTTCACGGTCTGTTGTTCTACGGCGGCGTCCAGTGCTCCTTGCTCTTTGCGTACGGCCTTCTCGAAGCCATGCCTGGCAACACCTAACCACAGTGTCTATCTACACTTCTTTGCACTCTAACTGCGATTGCCCGAAAAGAAAGTCCAGCTTCCCGAAGTCCCACTATACGGCCCCTATCAAACTCACTAAGTTGACGAAGTCGTACAGGTCTCCGTACTCTAGGCATCGTAACCGATCGTAAAGGATGTCAAGAACCAAAATCCGCCAACGTTGATTCTTTACTGCGGCTGAAATAAGTATTCATTTTTAGAGCGTTAGTGAATTAAAAAAAGCAGTATAAAAACCGGAATGTCCAACTGATAAGGCTGAACATTTTTTCACTTGTTATTTACAGTAAGATAAATACATTCACCAACTTTTATTAAAATAAAACCATTTAAACTGGGTGTTCGGATTTATATGTCACTTAGTATATTAGATACAAGCAATTTAAATCTAAGTCAAGTAGTTTTTACGTCAAGTACTTACAAATTCAAGTAGTTTTAACATTACTTGATAATTTTTGTAATGTAAATCATAACTACATAACAGAAATACTTTGTTCACAAGTTACAGAGAAAATAATACAGATTGTGCAATCATTTATTCATCGTATAACAAATAAGCGAACGATGAAACTGTAAGATTACATAAAAAAACATTCAACCATCAGCTGATACAAAAAATTACAAAGTTCTGAATTAGTTTTTAATTCGCTATCTACGAGTTATCACACATGACGGTCCTAATGGATTTATCGCTCAATCTGTTGCACGTTTCCGCAATGGTCAGCGCAGACCTAAAAACATCCCTTTCAAAGGACGCTGATATTGTAGTTGCCGATAAAAAATCTCTTGCCATTAAAGCTAGATTTGTGAATATATTTTAATGCCTTTTCCACTCTTAATTATTTGCATTCAGATAAAAAATGCGGCTCAACGGTTGTACAAATAAATATCACTGAACGTCTTTAGTAAAACTAAATATGATGAAAAATATAATTTGCCATGAAGTATCAAGTGAGCTAAAAATGGTTGAATTCAAGTCAACTAGGACACTAAGAAACTCAAGTCGAGTCAAGCACTAACGTGTTAAGTAATTTTATTTTCAACTCAAGTAGTTTATCAAGCTACTTGACTTAACGAATCCCTCCAAAATTAACTGTCCTGAAACTTTGACACCAAAGTTATTTACAGATTTGAATCCATGAAATATAAGAACATCCAAACCCTTACTCCAGTCCTGTGGCTTCATTGCCCCATTCATTAAATAATCTACCCGAATCAATAAACTGGGGCAAGTCGCGCTCAAGGTAAACGCCTACAGTAAATATTGACCTTTTCACCTTGATTATACACGAATTTTGGTAAACTAATGTGCATTACTCTCCATAAAGCACAACATACAGTTCAATTTTGTAGTTCTGATACTTCAATAACATTCAGCTCTTGAATGGTTAGTCTTAGTACCAGCATAAAAACAGTAGCCTTTCTGCGCACCACGTGGAAGTCGCTGTAGTTTCACGTGAACGAACTTTTGCACTGTTGATTTTACAGGGTAGCACCACATCATGAGCTCATGCATGAGCTCAACTCACATTCACGATATCGAGAAATTATCCGGGATTCTTTTCAGTGGTCATCCAGCTAGAGGTGAACCACATTACCATTCTCTTTTAATTGTTCCAATCGTGAGTTGGTAGTGTTTGTATACACAACTTTTCTCTACTTTGTTATCTATTTAGATACTTCATAAAGCTATAAGGCGTATATTAGTGTATATATTTGCATATCATTATTATGATGTAACTTCCTAATCCTTGGGTGGGTTGCAGATGTTCTGATAATGTGTCTATACAGGATGATCTCCGAAATGAGGAAAAAATGGGTCATGTGGACTCAACTGAGGACTGGAAAGGGCGCAAATGTTTCACTGTTGTCTGTTCCTATCCTCAAAGTGTATACCATTCTTATTAATATTCGATTATTACCCGACTGTCTTAGAAGGAGGGATAAGTTTCGCGCGTGGCTAAAAAAATATTTCATGAAAACAAAATGTCAGATTTAAGTAAAAGGATTCAACCTTGGAATTCCTATTTCACGGGCTGCAGTTTAAACGGTCTGATGGAATTACACATGAGGTGTCTCTGGACTTCTTTTGATAGTGCGGGATACATTAGGCATACTGAAATTTTAAAATCAAATTATTGGATTTTCAGAAAAAAGTTCAACCCTGATATTTCTCTCACGCGGGCTACCGTTTGGACGGTTTGATGAATTTTGACACCAAAGTCATTTCATGGACAACTTTTTTAAGTATTCTGTACTGCTAAGACCTTGAATGCGAGGCGCAACATCAAATCCCAGGGTACTAGTGAAATTCTTTGTTAAAAGTTTCGTTCTGTCGATTGTCGGGGTCAAAAAGGGGGCTTTACATTTAAAAAACAAATATAACAATTCAAATATTATTGAAAGTGATGCTCAAGACTAAATCCAAGGTCGCAGTTAACTCCTTGTTCAAAGTTATAGTATACCTGGTTTTGACCTTAAAAAATTCCCTACCTGGAAAAGTACAGAGCCAGTCCATCACTTTTGATACAGCCGGGATATGATCTAGCACAAGAGCACTTCAAGTGGATGGCAACTTAAATGATCGACAAGCCTTATTTGTGGAACCATCGATATAAGCAACAAAACGCGCTGATACTTCATGAAATGGTCAAACTTATTTCATAAAATCATAAAATAGTTAAAATGATTATCGATAGAGGCGCTGAAAGCGCTTTGCTCAGATTTACTTTATTTTTGACTTGCTAAAGTTCCTAGTCCTAGTAAAAGATGTCGTACTTAAATAACAATAAAAGAGCTCGTAACAAATTCTGGATGTTTAACTTTATCAGTTTCACCAACAAATCTACAAATGCCAGGAAGATAACATGTTCGCTCTAGCTAGCTTCTATGATCTTAACATTTGATTGCATTCAAAGTCAATATTTTGTTTCAACAGTTGTCGCTATATGGTTTTAGTAGATTTCTAATAACAGTCTGTCGTTAATTGCGTCTTATTTATCAGACAGAAGACAGTAGTTTTCCAACGCAAGCCAAGGCACAATGTGGTTACAAATTGGTGGTGTTCGAATCGGTGGGTATGACGCGAGCCAACATAAGCCAACGGCTTCCAAGTTCGGCGTTGGCGTTCGATTGCGTTCACTCCTTGATCGGTACATCAAAGGGAGGTTTGATTTGGTCTGGACAGGATTTGTTGCGCTTCTAGTATTTAGTCGTTTGTCTGCATTCGATGAGAGGAAACTCGTCGCTCGACATTAGCACCGAACTTAACCCAGCGCGGTCCAACTCGAAACAAAATTTGCGTGTAGACGATATGTAGACGAGAGCATTACAATACCTGCCAACATTAAACGCCAATGCCACAAACATGTGTTTGCATTCGTTTGCTAGGGCGTTAGATTTTTGGTCTGTACGCGGCTTTACACTATACGTATCAACCGCGGAGTTCCCCAAGAAAGTGTCTGGGATCGATTATTTTATGATTTACATCAATGACCTACCAAACTGTAGCATCAATCAATGTGCATTATTTGTGGATGACACAACATCCATATCATAACCATAATTTTGACAACAAACAAAACTGGTTTAATGCCAACAGTTTGTCTGTTTATATAGCGAAAACTCAATTTCTTCTACTTCGTACTCGTCCAAGTAAAAGTAATTTAATAGAAACCGTGAAATTCCTTGGACTGCTTACTATAAGGTTCAATAATGAATTAATACCAGAATACACAAGAATACTAAAAACTAGACACGGTCGTAATTATTTCGGTATAAAATTCTGCCCAGGTCAAAAACTCAACCCAACTGTTTTTAAACAATTTGTGATATTTAGTGAGGAAAGCTTTTTTGCAGCAGATACAAGTATTTGAATAATGATATTACCGACTTTGTGCCACGATTGTTGACTAATTTGAATTGTCTTATTACTTTGTGTTTGTTTTCGGTATTGCCTATCTTTTTTAAGTGTATGTGTTACTTTTTTGTATTGGTTTTTATTGTTCAAATGCTAAAACTTTTTCTCGAAGTGCTGTAGCACTTTTATTTACAAACGCGCATAAATCATTAGTATTACTATCATTAATTAAACAAACGGAAATCACACCATTTCACAACGTAAGATTTTCTTAGAACATCTTCATATCCATAGAAAATAATATTGGCGCTAATAGTCCCCAAAACTAGAGACATATCCCTAGACCTGACATTACTGTATCATAGGCTGGAAAATATATTGAGAGAAATTACCTTGGAATAGTAAAATTGGCTGGTCTCGGGGACACTGGATATTGCGAAATTGCTCGGCTTTAGGAACAAGAGTTGATTGATAGAGGTGCAAAAGTGTGGCATATATACGGGTGTATTCATTCATCCGAGCTGCTTAGAGGTTTTGCTTCGTACTGAAAAAATAACACACATTGAGAAAAAACTTCAAAAAGGAAAAAAATAAAAAAATGTACATGGATCACCCCGTACACCTAAAAGCCGACGATGGACGCATCGCTTTGCGGCGTCACGACGTCATCCAGCCCTGTTGCCACTTCTATCCCGCACCGCTCGATATCGAACTTATCGCCTGCTCGCGCCGGCTGTCTGTCCTTACCTCCAATACCTTCACCATGGCAGACCTCGATAACCTGGAGTATTACATCAAGTTTCCCAGCCCGAACTTCAACTACGCAGCGGCCGCCGGCAATGGAGGAGGTAACGGATCCTCCATCAATGGTGAAAGCGACTTCGTCTTTGTTGTGGACGAGCAAAAGCTTCCGGTCATTTTGCTGTTTGGCTGGGCCGGCTGCCAGGACAAGTACCTGGCAAAGTATTCGCAGATATATGAAGAAAAAGGGTGAGTTGATGCAAAGTTTTAACTTCTAGTAGTACTGCTCTCCAATACGCTTCGGTTTCCAGTTCTGCGCGATCTGTTTGCTGAACTTGCCCACCATTTTCTAGCTTTTTGAATTGCCCTTTGATATTGGTGACAAATACGTCCAAAGTTAGCTCAAAGTCCATGCTAAAGTTTTAAGCTTGGGGGAACAAAATCCTGACTTCAAACCACCAGAATTTGACTAAAAACTTCGTAGTCTAAAAAATAAGGAATTGAGAAATATATTTACAAGTGGTGGACGGCTCTACTTCATTAATGCGTTAAATAAAATAAGTAGGTGGTCGTTGGTCCTTTTAAAAAATAACGCAACGTCTTATCATAGCCCGACAGATTTAACCTGTACTATTCTTTTAGCGCTAATAATGGATACGTTTAGCTGTCGCTATTTTTTCATTACTTGCTGTATCAAGTATACTGTAGGAGTGCCAAATGTTTTAGTCAGGATTCTTTTTTCTCATTATTTTGTTTTAATTTAGAAGGGGCCAGCGACCTGTTAGCGAACTTGCGTAAATGCTAAAGGTTATCAGTCCATGCCAATTATAAGCACTTTGATCAAATTACCTATTCAATCTATCCGTCCTTGGCAGCTTTCAATTTTTTTTAAACCTTATGATTTTATTCAGTCTCTGGTTGAAAAATCGACTTATCCACATTTGAAATATGTGAGAAACGACATACGTACAATTTGGTGTTTTAACAATTGCAATTTTAGCTCGGTTTTTCTGCATACTCAATAGAAAAGTGTAATGCAGTTTAACAATAATATTTCTGCAGATTCGTATACATTTTAAATTGGACGTCAGTGCAGAATTGCTGATATTTTCTAACAGAAATAGGCAACACGTGTATAGAGACGTGTGAATATATGCTTTTTAAACATCTGATCACATTTAAAAACGATAAAAAGGTGTCAACTACTGGTAAGGAAAGGGCTTAAAGCAAGTTCAATCATTGGCACGCGAATATATAGTTTGTATATTTTCTTTACCGTTCATTGGCACACTAAGATTTTCAAAACATGTATCACATCATTTATTACATTTTTGCAAAATTCGAAGTACATGTGCCTTTGTAATTTGTCATCTTACAGAAAGCCCCATATTGTTGAATGATAAATTATACCTACATCAATTTTCATTTCGATACAGATAACACTTGGAATTTTTCAGAAAGCTTTAAGCGGTATAAAAGATGGTACTCTAAAAAGGACTATTGCGCTTAAGTAAAATATACCAAGAGCAACTATGTGCACAGTTCAGACTCCTAAAAAAAAACAGATAAATGCCCTTTATCTTTTTGTTCTGGAAATGCCAATTGAAAAACGACATCGTTCCAAATATTGCAGTTTTGTGAATATGCTTGACATAATTTAGTTAATCATAAACAATTTTAAACTATACTTAAAGTGTCAATGACTGGGCAGCTTACACTACGTTTATTAAGAATTCTAAAATGTTTACGTCTTGAAGGTGTCCCTTATTTTTGTCCTACTTTCCGTCTAGGTGAACGCAGCACAGTCTGATAAAATCTTTGGAATTGGAGTTGTCGGCGCTGTGTTATCTGTATAAGAACAATGAAAAAGTCTGGACTGATGCCCATCTAGTTTTGGATTATGCAGTAAATGTGATTGGGGCAGGCTGAGAGTTTTCATAACCCCCAGGTTTCGCTTTTGGTCCGAATTAAGCCATTTAATCAAAACAGTATCGGAAGCAAAGTACTAGAGGCCGTTTTTACATTTATACATATTATTAAAAGTCCTAATTGGCACTGACTGGTGCAAAATACGAAAATTTAGTCCATGGTTCTGATATTTGTCAATTGTAGCTTCCACTACGTACCATGCTTATCTTAAATTTTCACATGTATTTCATAGAACTGTGATATATCAAAATAATATTGATTGATCTAAATTAAACAATAAATATTTTCACCGATTGAAGAGCTTTGCGATTTCGTCAGTTAATAAATTAAAAATACGTAACATATTCTCCAAAATTTTGTATCTCTTGTAAATCAAATCACTAATGCAGTTTAGTATAGTGAACTAGAAACTATTGTAATCAGTGGACGAAACTTTCAAAGTGCTTTTCCATTATCAGACGCAAGGAAAACAGTTTATATTGACCTTGGATATTTTAAACTCCAAATATCGTAGTACTGTGATATGTAAAAATGAAAACAAAATATTAAATTAAATGTTCGAACAGATTTCCTTCTTAGGTCTGTCAGTAACCTAACCTATTGCAGCCTGTGCGAACATTTCCTGTAACATATTGCAACGCGGCACCACTGTTGCTAGGCAATGTGGTGCGCTTCCCTCTCGTACACATTAAACTCAAGCCGTCAGACAAATTTGGTTTTCCCTATATATTGCATTCGCACACCAGTGATGATGATGAGTTGCTAAACTTTCTACTTTTTTGATAACATTTTACTAGCATACATGAAACGTTCTGCTTGTTGGTTTCTTCCTTCACTTCTCAGCTCCTTCAAGATCATCTCAGAGTCCAGTTGTTTCGTATCAAACTAAATGTAACAATTATTTAGTACATACATATTTAACCCTTACACCGACCTTTAAATTGTCGTATCACGTAACGGAGTCCAGAGAGTATCAACAACATACTTTAAGCAGGTGTAAGAGTGTACCTGTGCGATACTTATCTTTCTACATCTATAGCATAATGGGGTACGACGTTGCTAAGTCCACATTTTCTCTTAGTCTAGGGAAAGTCTGTACAATCTGGCAACTCCGCATGGGGGTATTTGGAAATGTCCCTCATCTACGAAGTCTCATTCCCCTAGGCCCTAGGGCTTCAAATAAAGAAGAAACCCATTGAACCTCATGTAATTCCAGATTTCACCGTATCCTATAGTCGTTGGACAGTTACTTAGTGAATGGCTCCTGTATGCAAAAATCGTATTCGAAAGACCTTGAGCCCACTTGTAAGAAAAGACTACGAGTTATATTTCGGGTTCAAAGTTACCGATCAAGACAAAACGTGGGCTCCCAAAACAAACTGCCGCACTTGCTCAAGAACCTTAGCGGGATGACTACTGGATACTCACAGTCCTATAAAATTTGAAGTGCCAATTGTTTGGCGGGAACCTAAGAATTATGTTGATGATTGTTACTTTTGCTTAACAAAAATTCTGGGATGTCCTAGTAAAAGCAAACATAATATCCTCTCAGCCAGTAGACCTGTACCTCATGCCGGTCCAAATTTTGAAGAGGACGTTGTTTTCGAATGTAGTAGCAGCAAACAGCCACATTTTATATTTGGCGTGAAAATTTCCACGTTTCGGATCAGACAGTATATGCTGGCCATATCTTTCTCGATGGAAAATGAGTTAGTTTATTGTCATGATATTCCAGAGCCAGAAACCAACATTAATTAGTTAAACATTGGCCGTTACGTGAGAACGTTGTGTCCGGCCAGAAAAATGTCCTTAATGAACGCTTAGTAGATCAGCAGAAAGCTTATTTACCTCCTCTGCTCATAAAACTAGGGCTGATAAAAATGTTCGTGAAAGCCTTATATAGAGAAGGAAATGCATTCCTTTATTTGAGACGGAAATTCCCGCGTATAAGTGAAGCAAAGTTGAAAGAAGGAATTTTCGTTGGACCTCAAATAAGAGAACCTTTTAAGTACCAAAATTCTAAAACTACACTTTCGAGAAAGGACAAAAGGGCATGGAATGCCTTCAAAAATGTATGTAGCAACTTCCTAGGGAACAAAAAGTCGGACAACTACAAAGATCTAGTTGAAGAACGTATCCAATCTTATAAGGACTTAGGTTACTATATGTCACTTAAGCTGCATTTTCTTCACTTCCATTTAGAATTCTTCCCTGACAATTTGGGTGCAGTTTCAGACGAGCACGGCGAAAGGTTTCACCACCAAATTGCTCAGATGGAGAAGCGCTATAGTGGAAAATGGACCCAAAACATGCTGGCGGACTACTTCTGGACCATTCAACGTGTTAAACAGCTCCTGGCGAATACAAGCGAAAAGAGACAACCAAATAAATTATTTGATATTATTATTTGAAGTATATTTTCTGAAAAAGTGGAGTTGAGATCTTTTTAATTTCTAAAAATTCACCAGTAGATTGCTAATAATTTTGGATTTTCGTATTTTATATTCTCCCTTCTCTAAAAACTTGTGCGTGATGGGTAGAATCTAACCACATTTAGAACAACACGGTAGACGCAAAAAACCTGATAAAAATTCGGAGAGCGACAAACATTTTCAGAATGTTGAAGTGTTATTAAACCGATACTGAAAATCCACAATTTTCGACCATAGTTTCATGTTGACTATATTAGTAGTTTTATAAACATTAGACAAAATTGTATTTTAAAAAAGATGGTATGACGAACTATTGTTATTTTTTTTATAGGATTGGTTTTATGCTTCACTTTTATCCTCAGGTTAATAACGCTGAGATACACGGCACCAGTGAAATGTCTCTTCCTAAAACGTTACCAAATGATAGCTATAGGAGAAAGGTTGGTGAAGCTACTGATAGACCTAAATTTTGATACGCATCCTATAATAATTCACGTTTTCTCCAATGGTGGAGCATTTTTGTACCAGAACTTCGCCTTGGCTTTGGATAATAGTGAAAAAAACATCATGGTAGGTTGAATCTCGTTACCTCAGGAATACTCTGGGTTAAGTCTAAGTAAACAGTTTCTAAATCATTGCGTTTTAAATATTTTCTTGTGTTGTATCGTTGATGTGTTGTTGTATATACGAGGGTCATTTTTAAGGTAAGAACTATTTTGTAACGCAAGAGAAACTTTATGAACGTGAATTGTATTACAAACTAAAATATAAACATTTTCTGCTTTTTCAATATAGTCACTACAACCATTTGAACATTTGTCAACACGTGGCACCAGCTTTTAAATCCAGTCATCAAAAAAAAAAAAAGCTGCGCTCTGACAGTTACACCAATCAGTAACTGTTTCTTTAAGCATGTCATCATTTTCGAAACGCCTTCCGTCAAGAAATTTGTTGAGCTTTGGATGAAGATGAAAGTGTAACGGTGCTCAGTCAGGGGTTAATGATGGATGATCCAGTAACCTGTATAGTCGCGTCAGTTTGCTTGTTACAACGTGAGGCCGCGCGTTGCCGTGAAGCAGAGTTACGCTGCTAGAGAGCAGGTTCTGCCGGCGGTTTTGAATTGCGATAAGCTTCAATAACTATAGCACCTCCCAGCATTTATAGCAGGATAAACTTTTTTGTGCTTAAAGCGAATTACTGAGCACACTTAACCATCTGCAACTACGCAACCGATACCGACAGATACGTAAAACGTAATGGCGGCGTAGTCAGAGTCTAGCGAAGAGTGTCTGAGGTTGAACGGACGCCACGTGACAGGATGTGCGGGCACGACGCGCAATCGCTTCTTACTTTGAAAATGGCACTCGTAGATCGAGTATTTTGCATTTTAGTTGTTGATGTCGTCTTTTTCTCTTTGTCGCTAAGGCACTTTCCATCATCTCCTTATGCTTAGATTAAAACGCCCCTTACCCCTTGTACATTATTTTAGGTGAAGGGGGTGATATTTGACTCCGCTCCTGGAAGAAGAAGAGTGACCAGTCTGTTCAGAGCAATTTCTGCGATATTAGGGGGAAATAAGTTCTACAATTTTTCTGTATCTTTGATAATGACCATGTTCCTGTCAATGATATGGCTCTGTGAGGTAAGACGAGCGCTATTGCGGGTATACAATGAATTAGGCATATATACATTTCTCAAAAATCTTTTTAACAACAGAAATGAAAAGGCTTAGATCATATTTATTTGATTGTAACTCAATGAAGCTGCTCGGTAAGAAGTACCAAATAAGGAATAAATGCCAGACTAGAGCAGCATATATTGCAATTCAACCTTATTCCGGTAACCGATTTTATCAATTTCAGGTAATTTCGAATACAATTCATCCGAAAACTACATTTCAGTCGAATCCACTAGAGAATTTGAAGAGCGAAAAGAACAGGTGTCCACAGCTCTTTATATATTCCAAAAATGATGACTTAATACCCCACACAGTAAGTACAAGCTTGGTTATAATCCAGAGAAAGTGTTAACATTTTGATGATGTACGAACGCGAAAGTTTGTTCTACTCTGGTAGAAAGTACCACCTAATGTCTGCCATCTCGTCTTGCAAAACCGCGCTTTTTTCTGCGACTTTGCAAACGAAAAAAGCCAAAAAGGTATGGCGTAGAGTCAGGGCTATTAAGTGGAGGATTCAGATTCCAGATTCTTCCAAAAACTACTATCTGAACGCTATGGGTCAGTAGGTTGTCAATGTGAAGATACCACGAGCGCAGGGCCGATATCAGTCGAACACTTTTTATTGCTGCAAATAGTTGTTACAAACCTTCTATGTAACGTTTAGCTCTGACTGACGTCTGTTTACGAAACACAATATTTGCCTCTAAACCAGAAGAAAGGATACGACCAATCTTTTTCTAGTCGACGCGACTATCTGACTTGAATCGCCTGATCTTTGTTTTCGAAAAAACGAGATTGGGCTTTGTCTTCTGAGGAACATCATAAAAACATAGTCTACGTAGACTTTTGTCACCTGGAATAATTAAATTTATAGTACTAACATCAGTACCAACCTCTCCACATTAAGATCTGTTGTTGCACCAAGTTACTCTTGGAATGCTGCTAGCTTTTAAATGATCACATATAATTCGATCAATGCTTGGATAGTTTTCTGAATTGAATAAGCTATCTTTGAAATTTAAATACGACCTCTCCCCTACTCTCACTTTTTCCATTTCATCGTCATATTTTTTAGTTGATAGATCATAGCAAAGACTATGACGCAATGGCATGGTGAGTTTAGCTATTTACAGCTTCATTAGTTTAAGTTTAAAAATAAAAATGTGTTAAAAACAGTCAATTGGAATGAACTAAAATTTGATATGTTGATTTATATAAGTATTGACCACATTCAAAAGTCTTGACTTAAAATTAACGTGCAATGTAAAAATAGTACGCCACTGTTTTTTGAATTTGCTACAAATAATTACTCTTGTGTTTTCCTAGAAAGCGCTGTTTTTGTAAGAATAAAAATAAAACAAATTAGATCATTCATGAATAGCCGAGATACAATTAGTTTCAAAATAAAATAGGAGGCCTAAATAACAGCTTGACGTTTTTTGGAAGATAGTTTATCAAAGTTATGTGCTATGGTTGTTATCATTACTACTACCATTTTTTTTTGTAAAAGTCAAGCTAAAAATTGTTATCAAGGCTTCCTATTTAATTTTGAAACTAATTGTATCTTGGCTCTTGATAAATGATCTAGTTTGTTTTATTTTTATTTTAACGAAAACAATGTACTCTATCAAATAAACACAAGAGTAATTATTTATAGTAAATTGAAGGTTAAATTCGAAAAATTGCGCTTTCCGAAAAGAAAACAGTGGCGTACTCTTTTTATTTGGCAAAATAATGCCGCCACTGGTGCACGTTAATTTTAAGGAAAGACTATTGAATGTGGACAATACTTATCTAAATCATATACAAATTTTAGTTTATTCCAGCTGACGGTTATGAAGATATTAAAAAAAACTGTTTTTTATTCTTCACAACGCATCTTTTTAATGAAGCTCTCGAGGAAAAAAATTTACATAGAAGACCCCCCCCCCCTTAAAATGCGATCCTGTGTATAATGCTTCAGTTCTGGTCACGACATGTGAATCACCCATGTGTTGCAGCTTTTCAATTAGAGGACTATAAGGATATTCTCTGCATATAGGGGTTGACTGCTCAAAACTGAAAGAGTATGCAGGAATCAAATGAAAAATTGTGCCACCAAAAAAGTCGTAAATGTGTTGTAGAGGCATTTTAGTGTTTCCTACCTATCCTGTAATCCCCTGATTCATATACCAAGCTCCACACAATTGTTCGTTTGGATTTTACGATTTTTTTCACGTTTGCGCAGTCAGCTCTTATAAGAAAAACATTACAAAAAATGCTAATTAGGCACAATTTTATATTTCTCAATTATTTATAGACCTGATATGGCGTTTTACTTATCAGAAATAATGGTTGCCTTTGCATTGTGCTGTGAAAAGCTAAATGCTATGAGCTCTAATCCCTCTACCTCAAAAACGATTAATTGTATCGAAAAAATGCTAGAAACAGAGGTAGTAGAGAATTTTATTGAACATTTAGCTTACAAGATATTGATTTTGATGCTTGAGACAAAAGTTGTAAAGAATTCCATTGCACAGTTAGCTCAAAAGACGTTGATTGTGATGAAACACAAAAATGTGCAAAAAGTCCAGTCTGGTATTTGATGTTTTAACTAACTGTCCGTTTGATTGTACTTTACGCCTAGCTAACTTTATTACTCGTACCTTGCAACATTTCAACAAAATCAGTTCAAGCCTAAGATATGTGATATTAAATATTTGGCATGTTTAGATAAACCACCATGTATGTCCATAAAAACTGTATTTATATCAGTTTTATTTAGAGATATGAAAACTACCAACATTTTAATACTACGTCTATTTAAGTACGGAATACAACGTATTGATTTTTGATTTATTATCTTTCTAGGATATAGAGTATTTCGCAGAATGGAGAAAAAAGTCAGGTGTTGATGTTACAACTGTGTGCTATGACAGGAGTCTTCATGTGAAGCATCTTGCCGAAAATAGGGAAAACTACGTGAAGACGGTATACAATTTCATCAACCGTTGCTTGAATGGAAGTACTTAATCCAGCTTAAATTCAATCTAAAACTTTATTCCAGATAAATCTTTATTTCAAAATATATTTAGAGGTTATGATCCGTAAGGCTTGATGTAATAACACTGAAACATGGGCTTCATAGAAAACATCTCCTAAGCATAACAAAGCAAACATGATTGCACCTGGTATCACGATTGTAGAAACTTGATATGAGATAATTTGACGTTGGAATCACACAGGTTCCTACACCACAGATATTGGATTTCATTTTATTGTCTGGATGCAGGTATGGAAAAAATTTATCCTATTATATGCCAGAAGGAGTTAGCGGAGCTGTTCACAATGTACATGCCCTCGGTGCGTACGAAACGCTGGAGCACAAGAGGCTGCAGCTCTTCTTTTTTTTTGTGTCACGCGACGTTCCCTCAACGTTAGCGATTACAACGGAGAATACGATCGTATGAGCATATATTTCCAGTCCTAGAAGCCCATGCTAAAGTACTTGAAAAATAATACTTTTTTTGCATTTTCATTTGACAGCCAACGTAATGTTTAGTACAAATTTTTTAAATAGGTAACATTTTTTACATTACACAGTTTTAGTTGATTACAGTGAGTTATGTGGAAAAGATGGTAACAAAAATTGGATAGTCTGTAACCTATGGGATAAGATGCTACACGGTATTATCGGAAAAAGAAAAGCACCAAGTCTGAGTTGATTTTAAAGTTATTAGGCATTTTCTGTTAAGTATATTCCAATAAGACTTCAAATGTCTGTTTTCATTGAATTAGTTCACAGGTTGATTTTGAAATGTTTATCCAAATAAAAAGTTTTTTCGATGTCATGCATTGCAACTATTTCAGTAGCAAATAACTAAAATGATTATAGGCTAAGGTAAAGGAGAATACGTTCCTGAAATTTATCTCGAGCAATTATTGCAGTAGAGACTACAGGAACTGAGCAGGAACTGTTGTTACACATTTCGTAAAGATGCAAAGCAGAAACTTTGAATTTTGTCAAAAGAACTACCTTAACTACCTTTAAGCACAAATATATACTATGGGCTGCACAAAATAGAATCAAAATCCACTAAAGAAGTTGTCTCAACTATTTAAAATTTTGGTTTTTGTAAGTCATGGAACCATTTAACAAATTTAATTTTTTGCGGATATTTCAGATAACTTATTCACATTATAACATGTTTTCCAATTAAGAACCATGAAGGAGATATAGAATTTTATCTTGTGTAGTGTATTGAGTTGAACAGGATAATGTGATATTTGAGTAGCTAGTGGTCGCCGGAGGACCCATACATGATTGAATATTGATTATTTGTTGGATTTAAGTTGGTTTCTCTAGATCTTGTACTTATTTTCGGAATCCAAATACTAATATTTTCAAAACAAATGAGTAAGTGCTACAACAAGTGCTGAAACAAATGATGATAATGATACATGGGACTCCAAATTAGGATTAGACGAACTAATGTTTAACGCACAATGCTAAACTGGTTATAATACTAGATATGGTTATAATATTAGGGAGTGAGTCAGATCATAGATCTATGGTAAAATCTACTCGTAGCTGCTAGCTTCACGTCAGACCTGTTTTCGTTTTCTTTATAATCTCCACGCCGATGGGAGAGGAAGTATTGTAATTGCGAAAATAGTTGCGAAGTTATTTTTTTTGGATGTTAAATGAGATATGCAGCACGAGAATCCATGTCACCCATTTCCGTCTGCCTGTCGCCGGTATGTGCGCTAATCCTGGTCCCTGCTGTAACTTGGAAAGTACCTCAAATTTTTATGAAATTTTGATACTTTACTATGTCAAGCTTTGCAGTATTTGGAAATCGATCCACTGGCGGCAAAGCTCCGGCCAAAAAACAAAAAAGAAGGTGATGCAAATTGGGGGTTGAAGTTTGTTGGGTATCCTTGGGTACCAGTGGCAGACGTTCTCTTATTAAGAAGCTTCCGATCTCGGTAATACTATGCGCCTGATTGGCAAATCAGAACGAAGTTTCAGTCATGCCAATTTATTCTGGGCGCACATATTCGTTTTCCGCGTTCGATTTCCGAATTCGTTTTCCGTATTCGGAGACCCGAATGCATCAAACGCTAATAAAATACATTGACTGCCGCACACGTTCGTTTTTTTTTCCGAACGGAACACATTCCTTACGTACGCTTCCTGCGTTCGTAAACGGATAAAATCTAATGACGTCACGCAGAACGCAGCACTGGCATACATTTGTAATGTACCGCCGCACGCAGTCGGAAATTTCCATCCAGAACCGAGCAGTGACGTGCGTATTGGACGTCACGTCGTTGCTTCAAGAACTCGAATGCATCAGGACAATGTGTGAAGCCGACGAAGTAACATTGGCTGTTGAAAAGCACTCCTGCTTGTGGTATATTCATGACAAGAACTACCACAATAGAGATGTCAAAGAGTTGGCGTGGGAGCAAGCTTTCAAAGAGATTATATAGGATTGGAACTCGTGCATAAAAGTAGAAAAAGAAAACAAGAGTAAAATTACTTTTCTTTCACTTTTATTACTTTTATTGTTGTAAATTGGTAATCCTTTCGTTTTATAGATTTCGTTATATAATATTTCTTCTGCCGGAGTCATGAAATACCGAGCAAACTCATCTCTTATGCTTCAGCCTCAGTTTGTAGATCTATGTTGTGTATTCAGAGATAATCTGATCCAGGTATCTTGCTTCCTTAATTTATCACGTATGCCATTATGAAGTTCATCGAAAGATTGTATTGACATTCTGTAGAAATCAAAGAATTTATCTGGATGTGCTCGTAACTTTGCTCTTTTTAGATAAAATGGACTCTCGAAGGTTCTCCGACTGGTTAACGGATGCACCCAATACCGACGATTCTTTTTCTTCTTTTTTGATAATAATAATAGCAGTGCAATTCACAGAGCCGCCACTGACCGTACTGATAGTACAATATGCACTTTAAAAAATTGAACGTTTGTGCTAGGTTCACGGAATTCCGAATTGGAATTCCTGATTAGGAAACCGTATACGGAAAACGAATGTATGCGTCCAGCCTAAGGCGACACGTTTCGAGTTTCACTCCCCATCTTGCGACCGCCGCACTACCAGATGATAGCATTTAATTGACTGGCCTTGACAAAAAAGTTACAGGCACAGGCTATAATAGCTATGCGACGTATACGAGTATTTTACCACAGGCTGGCCGAAATCCAAATAGCGGCGTTAGGCACATTGCTTTTGCTCTTTTGTATTACAAGTAAATATAACGTAGTCGTCTTAGGTCAAGAAGGTCGACTTTATATCTCATATACAGTTGCTTTGTTCAACCATAGTTCATATGGCGTAAGGTCGGAAAATAAACCGAATATAAACTAACTGATGACAGAATTTCATGGGAAGTACCGAGTCATTCTACTTGATGCCATGTTTTTGTAGAAAATGACGCTATGATTCGGTCGCACCATCTTGACCACCTGACCATCTCGTGCACTTGACGAAAAAACCTCAAGCCACAAGTAATGCTTATGTGGAATGAAGGTGATGAGTATACTTACGTACAATATTATATGTTTACATATTTCATTAAATATTTATTGATTGTTACTTGATGCTTACGTTTATATACTGTGCTTTCCAAAAAGTCCCCCCCTCCAATTATTTTTTGAAGATTGAGTCGCTTATGACCTGACAACCAGTCGTCAGAACATTATATTATGTTAAACCAATATTATTCTTTTCAGAAGGTGTATCCGAATATGGGACAAAAATGGCAATTCACTTCTAAAAATTGTCAAAATCTGTTTATTGAATGAATCTCCCATATTTTATTCCAAATTCATGTAGACCTTTCCAAAAGAAGATTGATGTAACATACTGTAACGTACGAGCAAAAACGCTCAAGTTCGATAGTCTGGTATTTTATAATTTTGGAAGATAGTGATTTTATATTCTACGATTATGAACTGATCATAAGGAACTTCAAAATGGGGGGCCTTTTTGAAAACCACTATAATGTGTGATCCTTTATAAAAGGTCTATAAAAATACTTTTGAAGCTAAATTAGGTGGTGCAACATTGTCCATAGGGTAGTAGAATGAGATGTATTTATGACTTCCACGTTTATACGAAAATTGAAATTAGATGTTACTCTTGCAATATATGTTTTTAAGTCGTCAGCAAAATTTTTAGAATAGGTGTTTCCTGAACAGAATCAGCGCTCATTTTTCAACAACAAAAGATAAATACTAGGATGAACATCAGGGTGAATACATGAATGAGAATAGATAGAGTATTTTCAATTATTTGCGAACTACAGAAAGTACTCCACGTGATGTGCTAATCAATGGTACAAATTTCCAACACAAAGAGGCAAGACATCAGTATCTAAGTGGACTTAATTTTATGTGGTTAGGGTATTTTTTATCTATAAAACTAAATTTTACAGATACACGAAAAGACTAACCAAATGTTGTTACTTATGCAGAGTGATTTAAGACAACTTTATTGTGATACACTTAGTAGCGTTCTGAACGCAGTATAATTTTAAACAATAGTTTCTACACTTATTAATTATAGGTGCTAAACTTAATGTAATATTGTTTATATTATTAAATAGTTTGTCATTTAGTATACTGTTCTTTCTACCAGTCCTTCATTGACCATTTATTTATAAGATTTAAGCAACGAGAAACGAAGTCAGTGATGCGATTGATAATGATGAAGCATTTGTTGGGATATAATGGTTACTAATTGATTACTACGAGTATCCTGACGCCAGGCTTTATATGGGCCTTCACTGAGTGATGAGATTGGTTGGCTAAGAAAGTACTCCTTAGCATCAAAACATATATATTGATTAACGTGTCAATGATTAATTTTTCTCGGAAAACCAACGATTAAATGATAAAAGTTAATCACGATAATTTGCTGTACTTATCGAGAGCTACATTTCAGAAAAGAATTTCAGCGATGAATTAAGAAGGACGGTTCCATAATGTTTCAAGACCAGATACAACGGAATCACAATAGTTGAGGACCTAAGTCCGTTGAATAATACATCTACATTTATCCAATGCTACAAATTCGATTTTAATATACTAAGTGACATATAAATCCGAACACCCAGTTTAAATGGTTTTATTTTAATAAAAGTTGGTAAATGTATTTATCTTACTGTAAATAACAAGTGAAAAAATTTTCAGCCTTATCAGTTGGACATTCCGGTTTTTATACTGCTTCTTGTTTAATTCACTAACGCTCTAAAAATGAATATTTCAGCCGCAGTAAAGAATCAGCGTTGGCGGATTTTGGTTCTTGACATCCTTTACGATCGGTTACGATGCCTAGAGTACGGAGACCTGTACGATTTCGTCAACTTAGTGAGTTTGATAGGGGCCGTATAGTGGGACTTCGGGAAGCTGGACTTTCTTTTCGGGCAATTGCAGTTAGAGTGCAAAGAAGTGTAGACACTGTGGTTAGGTGTTATCAGACATGGCTTCGAGAAGGTCGTACGCAAAGAGCAAGGGGCACTGGACGCCGCCGTAGAATAACAGACCGTGAAGATCGCCGCCTAAGATTATTGGCCTTAAGGGACCGTTTCTCCACTACCAGGTCCATTGCAAATGAATGGTTTGCAGAACACGGAAGACCTATTGGCATGCGAAGTGTTTACCGACGAATGAGAAGTTTTGGCTTGTTTTCATACCGGCCACACTGGGTCCTCCCTTTAACTCGAGAACACCGACGTAATCGCCTTGAGTGGTGCAGACAACGGTCACTCTGGGATCAGGAATGGAACAGTATTGTCTTTAGTGACGAGTCTCGATTTTGTTTAGGCATGCACGATGGTCGTGCCAGGGTTAGAAGGCGACGTGGTGAAAGGAGGAATCCACAGTTTTTTGTTGAAAGACATGTTCATCACACTGTTGGAGTTATGGTTTGGGGAGCTATAGCTTATGGTTCCAGGTCACCTTTAATCTTCATCAGAGGTAACATGAACGCGCAGCGTTATATCCAGGAAGTTCTAGAACCCCATCTTTTACCCTATCTTGACACCCTGGCAGATCCAACTTTCCAATAAGATAATGCCCGACCACATGTTGCAAGAGTCACAATAGACTTCTTTCAACATAATGATGTCATATTGTTACCATGGCCACCAAGATCTCCCGACTTATCCCCAATTGAGAACGTGTGGGATATGATGGTAGGAGATTGCTCAATTTGCAACGTCCTCCTCAGACTCTAGAAGCACTTCGAGAGGAGTTGGTGGTTGCCTGGGATGAGATACCACAGGAGGACATTGACCACCGGATCAGAAGCATGCCTAGGCGCGTTGAAGAATGCGTAGCACATCAGGGTGCATCCACACATTATTAAAGGTCAAAGGGCTTTAAAGCAGTGCAATCATTTTGAAATTTTTATCATTTACTTATTATGCTTCATTCAGTACTTATACAAATTTTTATTAAAATAAAACCATTTAAACTGGGTGTTCGGATTTATATGTCACTCAGTATACTTCGATAAGCAGGTAAGCTCTCCAAGCCACAAACCATTACATGCTCTTCCATGAGAGGGCTTGGAAAAAAGCAAATGATTACTATACGTACTATCCCTCCCCTATTTATTTTTTAACGAGTTAAGCTGGCGAGCTGAATTTTGACGTGATGAAGTTGACGCATGAAGACCATATCTTAGCCTCATTTTCAGACAGAATCTGAACTGAACAAAGAATCATAAAAAATCTATGATGCGCAATTTTAAGTTTCTTCTTTCGGAACGGTCTATCTAAATGTGGAACAAATATTGTTATATCGCATAATATCTTATTTTCGAAACTTTTTGCAATTACGCCAGTGGGCGGGAGAAGTAAAAAAGATATCAAAAGATATCAATTTTGTTGGAAGGCAGTATAAGGTTCTGTTGACCAACTGTTGAGTTTTTGAATTGAATGTACAAAAAACGTTTGACTTTGACAGTCCGCTAATCCTCCATTTTCAAAGATAGTGAATCACCATGATTATGAAGTATACGAAAGATTCATCAAAATGAGGTATCACATGACCCACAATTGCATTTGAAAAGAACTCCAAGATAGGGTCAGGTCGCCATCTTGAAATTTTCACCTGTTACTTTTACCCTAAAATATAGTATTCATGCGTCAATTCCATTATCACAAATTTCAGTTTGCTACCTTGACCCGTTCTAAAAATAAGAATGGTAGGATGATACTTTTTTAAAAACACTATAAAGGGTGTCCCCAAAAAAGTGTGCAATATTCTACCAGCGGTTTCTAGAGCTTAAAATAGGAAAAAAGTTTATATAAACATAGGTCGACAAACGTCCCCTAAGGGCGCTACGGTCTTTTAAAGGGGTTCCACGGAATATGGTTTTTCCTTAATATTTCCGAAACGTGTTGAGATCAAGACATAAAATTTGGTATCCTAGCCTCATTTTTTATGCTGGATTTAAAAATATTATCAATTTTAGACAGTTTTGTTTGGAAGCGTATGTAACAGGGATGGACTCAGGTTATTTGAGTCCCAAAATTTTTGTGTGATTCTATTTTTGAAATTCAATTTTAGAATTTGAAAACTTAGGGTTTTCTACATAAAAAGGTACTCTTATTGAATATCGATAAATTGTGCCATTTTTGAATAAAATCAAACTAAAAAATTTGTCACATGATAGGAAATGTACTGCGAATTTAAATGAATTGTTGAATTATTAGCCATGGCAACGGAAAAAATAATTTAATAATTGGTAAATATTACATAAATACATATTTCTATTGCAACATAGCTAACATTTAGGCAAAAACAAAAGAAATAAATTTTTTCTACGAACGAAATTGAAATTTGTTTAAAAAAGAAGACAGACAGTTGGATATACTTAAAACTAGCTTTACAATAAGTGTTCAAATAAATTCCCATTTTGTTGGATGCAGAGTCTCGCTCGACGAACTAGTGAATGCGTAGCCCGAAAAGTGGAAAACCTTTTTCTTCTTATTTCATTTGCAGCCTGATGGATTCTTTGAAGTGAATCTTCTTGAGTATTTACTTCAGTCGAGTAAACTAGGCCTTTTAATGACCCCCAAAAATAGAAATCCAATGGATTTAGGTCAGGTGAACGTTGCGGCCACGCTATAGGACCACCGCGGCCTAACCACATGTCTAGAAAATTGACATTAAACCAATTTCGAACATTGCGTCCAAAATTTGCAGGGGCGTCATCATGTTGAAAAACATATTTTATTGAAACTGCTGGCGCACATCCAGTGGTATTATATCCATGATCTCATTCTGAAGAAAGTTCAGATACATCTCTGAATTAAGACGATTGGGAAGTACAATAGGCTCAATTACTTGATCCCCAATTACTCCTGCCTATAAGTTCAATGAAAATCTATGTTGGAAATTTGTACGGCGAACAACGTTTGGATTTTCATCTGACCAGTGATGCATGATATGGAAATTAAAAGCACCATTCCTAGTAATATTGACTCATCCGACCATAATATTCTAGGAATAGTGTTTTCATTTGCTAATATCCACGTGGTAAAAAATATGCCTCCGTTAAATGACCCGTTTAAAATGATAAGGATGTAATCCTTGCATTCTTGTCATTCTTCCCATGTAAAATTATTATTTTTAGGATAATTATCAAATAGGTATTCATCAATTTTTCTTACTATTGATCGAGGTATATCCATATTTTCTGAAACATTTCGTATGCTTATTTGCGGATTATTTACAAACATATTTAAAGCAATATCCATACGATGATTTCCTAGTGGCCTTCCTGAGCCCTGCATGCGCTGAAAACTTTCACGGTTTGACAAATTCCGGTGAATATCAGTAAACATTCGAAGTGGTACTATGCGATTGGGAAATCTTCTTTGATATTCTCATACGGCTGCCAATGAACTGCCAATGCACAACCCGTACACAAAATGCATGTCAGTCAGATCTCTGTCTGTAAATCTTAGCATTTTAAATCGATTTAATAAAAATTTTCATTTTAATATAGTAATTGTACACTGCCAGCAATGTTAGCTTAACGTCAAAATAAGTCATAACAAATCAAAACAACTTTTGTTTGCAGTCATGGCTAACTATGTATAATCAACAATTCATTTAAATTCGCAGTACATTTCCTATCATGTGACAAATTTTTAGTTTGATTTTATTCAAAAATGGCACAATTTATCGATATTCAATAAGAGTACCTTTTTCATGTAGAAAACCCTAAATTTTCAAATTCTAAAATTGAATTTCAAAAGTAGAATCACACAAAAATTTTGGGGCTAAAATAACCTGAGTCCGTCCCTGTTATATACGCTTCCAAACAAAACTGTCTAAAACTATTGATATTTTTAAATCCAGCATAAAAAACTAGGCTAGAATACCAAATTTTATGTCTTTATCTCAACACGTTTCGGAAATATTAAGGAAAAACCATCTTCAGGGGAGCCCCTTTAAAAGACTTTAGGGGACGTTTGTCGACCTATGTTTATATAAACTTTTCTTCCTATTTTAAGCTCTAGAAACCGCTGGTAGAATATTGCACACTTTTTTCGGGACTCCCTGTATATTAAGGAGTAACTAGTAGTGACACATATATGC